TGGGTATATATGGTGTTTATTGAGTCTCAAATTATACAGGTGCACAGAATAGTATCCACAAGCACAAAACCATCATTGGGAGCATTTCTACTCTGCAGATGCACACAAACAGTATCCACATGTGGAAATATACTTGCAAATGAACAGTTCTGGTCCACGTGCACAATTGCGCAAACTCAAAGAAGTGAGAGATAAGCAGGTGACTGGAGTTTTCAAAGTGACCAATCAAAGGAGGGGAGCATCAGCCACTGTCTCAGTCTTCAAAGTCTCAAAATGCCACTTGATGAGCGAATGACTGTTGGGCTGTGTTGGGAAGTTTGAAGTGCGTGGGGAGGAATGAGTTTGCACTTGTCTCAGGTCTGCGCTCGCAGAACCGCAGCTGTGCACGCGGAGCAGAAATGTTCACTTTCAAGTATTTCTTTGAACAAACCGTGAAACAAAAATAATTGAATCTCTGTGTGTGAGCATGCTGCACCTTTTAACACGTAGAGCACTTTGGTGACAGGTTATTAATGCTTTCTGTGGGGATGTGTGGTGTCGGTGCTGTTGCTGGTGTTAATGGGATTATGGTTCATCAAATATAAAACTATCTATCTTTCCCCTGTCACGAGTAAAGGGGTGCAGGTTAATGTTGCAGCAACAACAGAGAATAAGTCACAACAAATTATCAGCGGAAAACTCCAGTTTAACCCAAGGTAACGATGCACCACGAGAATCCATTCACTGACACATTGTCTGAACTCTAGATGCTCAGCACTGCTAGAAGAAATATCTGAGCAACTGAAGGCTTTCCACGAATTAAACTGAAGCTATAATATTTCACAGGCACAAGCTTCTTGACACGGACACAGCTTCCAATCTGATCTGTGTAACGTTAACAGGAAAGTAGACTTCCTGCAAAGTTCTTACTCAACACAATCCAGACTTCAGCTGGAATCTGGGAATTAACTGAGAAACTGCCAACAGGGACTCAGTCCTTAATTCCTGAAGGACTCCCCTCATATGAAATGTACACTGTACGATGTTTGAGAAGGAACAACTAATGCTTGATTACGAAACAAATATATTTAAGATTACTAAGATTACTGTTAAATACAGCAAAATGTGATATATTCCCTGTCTCTCAATACAAGATTATAAAAACAGATTCATTATTATATTTATATCACCTCAGGATACATACAGGACATGTGAAGCAACATTATACGATGTAAAATCGCCTATAAAGGCTTTAAAGTTTCAGTTTCATGATTTCTGTGTGTGTTACCTTGATAAGATACAGACTGAAAACCATACTGTAAAATATTCTCTGCACTTCATATAATCCATAAAATATCTGCTCGCATTTCACAATAAAAGACTCTAGAGGAGAAACTGTGAAGATTCAGGGGAGTGAAGGCTGATACTTGTGTTCAGGTTGAGATCACAGTGAGGCAGCAGGCAACATGTGTTCAGAGGGAATCAGTAAAAACAACACATGTGAGGGTATTTTAGGACATTCTGGTCTTTAGTCCACTGAGCTGCGTCTCATTTTGTCTGGTCAAACATCACATATCGTCCTCCCCCTTGATGAGTCACACACGTAGAAGACTGCACCAGCATCTGTGCATATAGAATCACATTCACTGCACACCACATATTCTTTATATTACAGCTGATCATTTTCTTTTTCAGTCCTAGTTGCTGGTTGATTTTTGCATGAAATGACACTCTATTCTCGTGAGGTTGTGCAATGCATACTTTTCAAATGACTGCAATGCTGCATCAGGATAATGTAACTTAATGTTCACTGTGATCGATTACACAAATCAAGCAGGTCTCAAGAGTCCACTAACTGATGTTCATGCCGCATAGAAATGAGAAGAAAGCAGTGTCTGACTAGGACAGAGTGAAAAGTACAACTGAAAACAGCATGCAGAGGAACATTTTTCAAAAACAATAAAGTACATGTTTTTTTCTTTAGTTATGGGGCTTGAATATTCACATGGGCCAATCTTCTGAAAAATGACAGAACTGAATTCTCGGCTGTGTCTGTTTCTGTTCAGCAGACTGGATGGACTGCAAGCGTTTCTAAAGGCGGCTGCACACTCTGATTCATTGTGTGTGCGTGTGTGTGGGCACTGACAGGGGAGACAAAGTGTGTGTGGGCTGACTGTGTAAACACCTCTGCCGCAACTGCTCTGTTGACAGGTCAAAGGACGAGGAGTCGCGTAAGGCTGATGGCCATCAGGTCACACATCCTCTCTCTGTTGCATCACCTGCATGTATAACTTAACCTTTGAAACTGCGGTGATTCAGTGGCTGGATTATACAGGAGACTGCTGTCGTAGTGCGAGTTTATATCACAGAAATAAATCAAAGCTAATTCATACAACTTGCAATCTGCATTACGTCAGTCAGATGAACCTGATAATGGAGGATGAGAAGAAAGAGAACCCTCAAAAGACAATGTGCTACATTAAATGTCACAACGAAATATTGTTCATAGAAAAATTGTATTCGACGAAATCATCTTTTGCAAGTCTGTATTACTACTGCTATGACTAAACCTGTCTGTATAAATGGGCTGTCTGCTTGGTCTGTGGTCATGATGGCTGCAGCTTCTCCTTCTGAAACTGTAAAAGTGACTTTCAGTAATTGAGTAAAGATGAGCTGCAGGACTCAGTCCACAGAACCCTGAAGCTGCTCCACCGCTGCTGCACAAAGAGCAGTTCGCATGTTTATTTAAAATTCAGTAAAGCTCGACTCATAACACCGCTCTGGTGAATCAGTCGTCTTTGCCGTTGTTGTGATCGATGATGTAACTTAAAGTCCCAGCTGCCACTGCTACAGAGAACTGGTCACCTGTTTATTCATATTGAACATATCATGTGTCCAAGCTGCACCAAATTCAACGATGCACATTCTTGGACCCTGCATGGACAACAAACGTGCCGAATGTGAAGCCAACAAGATGGATGGTTCTGGTGATATGAGAGAAATAAACATACAGACGGACAGAGATTTCTGCAACATGCTGGCCATATAAGTTAATATGGCAAACTTACACAGCTTGATTTTTATTTGCATAGTGGCATCGTCCAATCATAACTCATCCCGGGAGGTGAAAACACCTGGTCCTGTATGTTATCCAAGCACAAAGAAGACAAGGCATATTCAACTTGGTCTGCAGACTGCCTGTTGAGGTGCGCTGCCTCAGTCTCTGCTGCACAGACAGCAAGGCATTGTTTGCCTGTTTATTCAAAATGTATCAGTATTATACGTATTGTATGCGTAAATCACACCAAATTCAACATTGCACTTCGTTTGTCCCTTAACAACACACACGAAAAGATAAACGGTTCCAGAGAAATGCCGAGCAACATACTGACTGAAAGACAGAGATTTTTCGGTTCTCTTCATATCTTAGCAGGTATAAGATAAGATCTATCTTGCAAAGACAGGCGGGACACACAAACTAATACATTTACAAGTACGACAACATTAATATAATGAGTCACAAGCCAGATTGTCATCATAGTAGGGTCCTCATGATGACAGCTGTGATCACCAGTCTCTTTTTTCCAGTGTGTTCTTCACATGGCTGTGGGGTTATTGATCTTGTCTATGAAGAGGATGTTCCCAGTGGAGCTCTCCAGCTTGAAAACCTAGAAGGGTCCTGTCATTTCTGACAGGACCCTATTTCACTGATCCTTTGAGGTTTCGGGTGAGAGGCGGGGTGTACCCCCTTGACAAGTCAGCAGTGTATCACAGGACCAACACACAGAGACAAACAACCATTCACAATCAATTTAGAGAGCGATTATGTCTCCAGTTAACCTAAACTGTCATTGGACTGTGGGAGGAAGTCCGAGAAAACCTACGCAGAGAACCTTCCTGCTGTGAGGTGATAGTGATAACCACTGCACCACCGTGTCGCCCCTGCTATTGAATACATGACACCCTCAATGTAGTGTGAGGATTCAAAAATGAATTAATGTCCTGTCCACACAAATCAGATATATTGCCAATTTAACTTTTCCTCTGCAGTTGAGCCTCTGGTCTGCATGCAAATAATGTTTTAAGTCAATATAACAGATTTATTTACCAATGCCTCCCAAATGCTCAGATTTTCTAAAACAAAAAACAATGGCAGCTACATTTCTCTGCATTCGATTGGCACTGCTTTGTCTAATTACAAGTTTACAGCTAAATTTAGCATCACTGTAGCACATTACCAGCATCCACAGGCATCTGCGCTGCTCACTATTACTTGGACCACAGTGTTATTACATATATTTGGCATTTGACTGATCGTCAATATAGACACTATTGCCACCCAATGCTTGCTTGAGCATTTTTAGTTGTTTTAGTTGTTTTTGTGTGTCTGTGTGGATGTACACAACTCTTAAAGCTACAGCTTCTCATTATGAGCCATTGCTGATTGTCGCTTTCAAAAGTTAAAATGAAAATAGCAGGCAATATCAGTTGTTACGAACATTAATTCTATGACTAAATTCACACTGGATTCAGTCCCAGTCCCGAAGCTAATTCTAAAAGCGTAAAATATATCAGTAGACTTCATTGAAAATGGCTGCATTCATAAGCAAACAATGCATTGTGGTCTTTTGATAGATTCCACGTACATCCAAAGAGATAAAGTCATATCTTTAAAAAAACTGTAACAGTGCTCATAAAGAACTCAAAAACTAATGTGAGCCGTGGTTGGGATACATAAGTGACGATGGTACTCTGAGTGGAAGGACTCTTAAATTAAGCATTTTGTTTATCAGTTACTCAATCACAATTACAATGGGCAGTGCACTGCTTTGAAATGCATTGAAATGTTATCATTTTCTAGAGGATTGTGCATAACTCATGAGAAAAAACGTTAGGAGGAAATATAAAATTTACAACAAGTAATAGTGAGTAAAATAATTTAGTGTTAAGCAAATCTGTGACCTCAAAATGAGATTGAAAGGTTAGAATAATAAATAATGAATGTAAATAAATAAACTATGTTGGTTGTTCATAACAAGCCTTTATTTCACTTCATGTTGAAACAGCATTATCACAATGACACGATGACTCAATGTGTAAGTGATATATCTCTATAACGTTTCCTATTAACAGTGTCATACAACAGTCAGTTGGATACAAGATGGATGTATTTTGACATTGTTCACCTCACCAGCATTAGATGACAGATGGTGATAATGTGTCACTTGTGTAACTGGATGACATCTCTATCATCTCCACGATTCTCCTGATTTCACTGCAACATCTCTACAGGGCATTCAATTGCAGAGGTAAAACTGAAACTTACTGCATTGTGAAAAATGCAACAAATATCAACGGTCATTTCCCGAGCATCTTCACATGGCTGTGGGATCGCTGATCTTGCCCATGAAGAGGATGCTCCTGGTAGAGTGCTCCAGGATGAAGACCAAGAAGGGCCTGTCCAGTGTCATGACTTCGGGCAAACTCATGGGCATGATTTCAAGGGTGGTGGCAGCCGCCGCCTCTGTTCCGGTTTCATCCACGCTGAGCACAGCCTGGTGAGATACCTGCAGAGGAATCAGGATGAGGAGTCAGTCAGTATCCACGGCTATTTAGGAGCATGTCTCAGAAAACATTTAGCTACTTTGAGCTAGAAAATGCTCTGGGCAGTGTCCAACAAACATGAGAGGGTATGTTTGCTGCTCCTACCTTTGAGACTTTGAGCTGGACCTCAGCAGACATGCGAGAAAGATCAGCGTTGTCTGAGAAAGCATCAGTCACTCCAAATTCTTTAAGAGTGTCGACCAGGGAGGCATCAGCAGAGATAGAAAATTTTGGCATGTACAGAGTCACAGAGCTGAGAAAACAGAACATTAGAAGAGTCAGAATCACTGGAACGTACTTGAAAATTAGGGTAAGTTTACTCAACTTATGGATACAGTGAGCAAATATATACATGTGATCTTTTTAACATTGTCACTAGTTTATCCAGGTTATTTTTATGCATAACTTATCACTAGTCATGCTGTGTTCTGCACAATAGCCCAACACACACTGAGGCATTCCCTTCAGTTGTACCGGTAACCTCACTGTAGATGTCTCTCTGTCATAGTTTACAGTCACAAATTTCTCCCTTACTTCCTGTAGAGCTGGTCATGCCAGTGCCTGATGTACTCCTTGTTGATGTAGGCCTCCACCTCCTTCATTTTGCCTTCATCGGGCAGGACGATCATCATGGAGGTGTTGCTCTTGTAGGGCAGCATGATGACGGTGGTGTGGTTGTCGGAGTCCTGATAGAAGTCGTAGCGTCCCATCCTTTTCATCATGTCCACCCTTACGTTTGTTTTTTCGTCCACGTGGAAGTCCGCCTTGTGTGTCAGGTTAGCATTGAAGGGTTTCTCCCACTGTCCTGTATGAGACAGTGAAGGGGGGGGGGGAGTGAAAACAAGGTGGATACTGTACATACACCAAAATGATAGTGACTACATGATGTAAAATGGTGTTTGTCTATCTTTTCTCAAAGCTTATTTCACATCTTTGTGTCATGCTCTCCCCTTTAAACGACGCAAGGGAGCTGTGTCTCTATGTGTTTATCAAGGCTGTTGCATGGCCTGTTCTCAGGGAATGTGATATGTGTGTTTCCTACCTCTGAAGTAGACGTAGTTGATCAGCACCATGGCCATTTCAGGGTCCAGGTCCTTCACCATATCCTTGATCTTGTCATTTGTTTTACTGGCGATGACTCTGTTGATCTCAGCTGCAGCCTCTTGGGGTTTTGTGAAGTCGACGTTGAAGATCTCACCAGAGTAGAAACGCTTGACATTCTTCAAGAACGTCTCCAGAGGACTGAAGCCAGAGCGCACTGCAACAGCACTGCCGACGTCCAACCGCTGATTTGCCTGGCTGTGGCCAAGCATCTGGAATAGGTGCTCATATGCCTCGTTGACCTGCGCCTCGTCCAAAGCACTGTAGCCCAAGCTGGAGAAGAGCTGCCTGTGGGTTTCACCCCGGGCCCCCGTGGACAGCATGGACAGGGCGGTGGAGATGCCCAGTGGTGAGTAGAAGATGTTCTTTCCAGCGGCAGTCTTGGCGTTCAGGCTTTTGTAGAGGGCAAAGCTGAAGTCGGCGTTGGGAGAGGACAGCTTGTGGCAGCTCACCTCACTGTCATGACCATGGTCGGAGTGTTCATGATGGTGGTGGTGTGCCCAGGTTACAGCCAGCAGCAGTGCTGCGAGAGCACAACTAGCAAAGATACCACGCATCGTAACCGCCTGTCTGTGAATATCAAAGGAAGTGAGTTACGTTTTTGCACAACACATAAGCAATATAGTGAAATATATTGGACTTTTGTTACATTGTTATTGATGATAATTATATTTTGATAATTATTGATATTGTTTAATTGCCCAGCTTTACTCTAACAAGCTTTCAAGTCACCTCCATACCTCAGTTTTATCAATAAATGTGAATCAAGTATCCTGAATATTGAAGTTATCTAAATGCATTAGCATGTTTCAGTAAAGTGCTACGCTTACCTTTAATGTCCTCTGTGCTGCAGACTGTTTGCCAGAAACTTCCCCATTATATACAAGGCCGATAAGAGTCAGCAGACAGTTTGGTCAAAAATTAACCAGGGCCAGCGCCTCACGTCAGAGCTGTACTAAGAGATATTAGGTTGGACTGTCTTCACTGATGCAACAGAACTCACTCAACAAAGCACGGATAAAGAACCGCTAGTGAGATAACAGGCTGTTCTAAAAATGCGTGAACATTGCTTTTTTGCAATGTGTTGCATCACATACCTTTATCCTTATAGTATTAACTGATACACCAGATATCACTTTCATTATTCACAGAAACTTGAATGAATAAATGGTTTTAGTCTGTATAGTCATATTAAATCTCACTTGAAATCCATTCTGGAAACAACAAATGAGGCCATTTTAAATGAATACCTTGAGGAATTCTTCAATACTCAGGGAACTCAAGGTCTACTCTCTGTTGACTCTGTTGTCTAATGGCTTCAAAACCTCAGCTTCAGATTTTAGCTATGTCTCCAAAACATTCAATATTCATCACAGAGAGAAAGTTAAAAATCCTCCTCAGCTCTTATTTATAAGGATTATAACACTCAAAACCTCAGTTAATCTTCCTCAGGAGTGTGGGTGACGTTTGATCAGATATGACTGATTGAAACCAAACAACCCACCAACTGTCGATAGGTTTTCATTTGAGGAATGTTTCCACACTCTGATTAGAGTCAAACAGTGATCATTTATAGGTTTTTTTTTTTATTCCAGTGGATATACTATACATGTCATGTGACACTTTGTTTTGTCGCCTGGACTAGTGCTAATATGACCATATCCAGCAGGCTAACATGATTAGCCCAAATTAATTTTTTGCACCCAACACTACAAGAAACTTTTGTGTTTACTCAATGTAAGCTCTTACAATGTCATCTCACCATGTCAGAGGGCAAACGTGTTCAACCAAGGCAGCAGGAAGTGCAAGATGCAATACTCAATATTTAAATATTGAGGTGGTAACACACAATTTCCAACTATCTATCCTGGATGCCATTTATAATATTGCACATCCGTGTCACCACTAAAAACATAGCTGATCAGTGTGAGAACAAGATTTTCAGATTGTTAGTGTCAGAGTTACAAGTGTACGAAGAGTGTACCGCAGCTGTGGGGGCCCAACAGTCTCCCTGAGAGTCAGTTGAACCTTCCTTGATTAATAGGCTGCCATCTTGTGATAGATTTATTGTCCTATTCATCAAACTATCCTCTATTCATCATCTCTCATCCTCGACTACACAAGGTTTTCCCATGCCAAGGTAAAACAAAAATATATTTATATAATGTTCTAAAGCTACTGAAGCTACACTACTGCAGTGAAACTTTCTTTATGACTATATGTTTTTACAAAGCAATTGCACAAGATGATAAATATGATAAACAAAGGTCTCACAGCAGGAAACAGGTGGGGAGCGAAAATAAGTAAGAAAATAATTTGGAATCGAGTGAGAACAGCTGAGATCATTTACAGAGATAAATTACTACCATTTCAATTTTTGTAATTTTGTGATATAGAGAAATAAACAGGAAATGATTCTGAGGAAGACAGCACAGGTTGGGGTTGGGAGTTCGATCCCTGTCTCAGGGCATCAGAGTTTACTTTTTTTTGTTTTTAAAAGCTTTGCCAAATCAAATATGCAGATTGTGATACTATGTTTGGAAAACTGGGAGCAGAACTAAACACATTCTGCAAATAACAACCAAGGCTGTTACGTAAATGAGCTGTTATGTGAATGAGTGCAGTTTAATATCAGTAAAAGCAAAATAGAATAAACAGTTTGCATCTTGTTTAGCATTTTATGCTAATAAATCCAGTGCAGTTTCAGTCCACATGACCTTTGACTACTGAAACCTCATCAGCTCATCTTTCAGGTCCAAGTGACAACTCATCCAAATTTGAAGAAATACCCTAAAGACATAATTGAAATATCACATTTAAGAGGACAAAAAAATATTTTGTGAGGTCACATTGACCTTTAACCACTCAAATGTGATCAGTTAATCTAAGTGTAAGTGAAAATTTGTGCCAAATGTGTAAAGATTCTCTTGAGGTGTTCTTAAGATAATGTGTCCACAAGGCAATAAAATGTTTTTGAGGTTACTGTGACCTTTGACCACACAAATCTAAATAGTTCTTTCTTGAGTCCGACCGGACATTTGTCCCAAAGAAATTCCCTCAAGGCGTTTTTGAGATATGTTCAGTCAAGCCTAGACATCTGTCCGATCATAATTCTCCCTACGATCAGATTTAGTCCTGTGAGTTGGTTATAGATCATGATGAATGGTCTGTCATCCCCTCTGCCATCTTTGGACTTTCACCTCCAGCATAACTGCATGAGGCCCCTAAGAAGTGGTCCAGAGAGAGTAGAGACAGTGAATCTGTCCATTAAAGACACAGAGATGATAACAAAGTGTGTTTTGGCTTGTCCATCACACATTCAAATAAATTTAATAAGTAATATTTTTCTCAGGGATCTTACCCAAGTGCTTATGACCAGGAGTGCCATGCCTCTTTCTTGACCTTAATGAGTCGCAGCATCTTCTTGATTTTCCAGAGAGTTCGACTCACTGACAAAATAGATGATACCCAGAGCTCCTCAGGAGGAGGTTTGTACACCGTTGCATTTCCTTAGTTGGAACTTTGAGATACGTACTTCTGTCCGCCTGTGAAAACAATCAGTGTGTTAATGGATTTGCTCCAGGCTGTCTTGTTACAGCTTGTGCGACCCGGACTGCAGGCTCTGGCTCACTGATGTATAGAGAGCAGTAATTATTGCTGACCGAGGATCTACTCAGCATCATTCATCATGCTCCCGAACAACAGAGTGCAAGTGACTGCAGGGCACCAGAGTGAGGGCGCTGCTCTGCGACGTGGATCAATATAATGTTCACTCAGAGATAAGCCGACACTATATGGAGGGCATATGCTTTATACTACACGGTCACAGTTCTGAAACCCATATGGTAAACTACACTAGCCACTAACCTTCCTGATCCACAAACAGTGAATGCAGCGTCATATTACCACACACTACACGCAGAGCACATGCAAAACCAATATGTTACAACAGACCTGCAACAGAAACTACCTTTCACCCAAATTACAAACAATAACATTAATCACATTTTTTACTTGCTCTCTTAATATCCAGCCATGCTGCACTATATGTGTCTGGATGGATCATATGCATAATCGTCTACGCAATGTTTCAGCGCTGCATTTTGTCAACAATGTCTCCACTATTTTATGCACTAATTGAAAATGTGCATAAGAAGCAGCAGGTGGGAATGTATTTATTGTTTCTAGAAATAAGAAACATTGTAGAATATTGAAAATGCTTCCCAGCCACTTCTTATGTTTGTTTGCATAGCTTTATATTTTCCACACAGCTCCTGCCGACCTCATCTCGAAGCTTTTCCTCTCTGTTTCACTTTGGTAAGAATGGCACAAGAGAAACAGTTTTCATATTCACTTATCCTCAAAGCTACTGACACAAAAGTCAATGCAAGTAGTCAGGAAAGCGCTTGACATGGTTTGCACCTCATTTTTGTTCCAACTATATGGACTCCCCACCTCCAGGCATCGTGTTGCTGAGCCAAAAGCTGACGTGTCTGTCAGAGAGGCAGCACTCACACGGCTGCAGCTCACCCTCAGGAAGCAGGAGCAGTGAGGCCAGATGTTTGGAACAGTCCAGCAGCACCTCCATGGCTGAGCAGTTGTTTTCAACCAGCGTCATCACCTCATACGAGTCGTCCCTCCACATCACGCTGGTCGCAGAAATCGGCTGGAAGCCTCTTGGCGCTGTGTGGAGCCGCTCAAATGGTTGGATGACCTGATTTATGTGTTTTTAATAAAGGGAACATGTTATGGATGGAGTATGAAAATAAACTGGCAAAGATGGAGGTTGCACACCCATAAAAAAAGCACCCGCTGTGTAAATGTATTACCACCAACTGGCACAAGTGAGCATCTCCTCCCCATAAAACCCAGTGACTAATGAAGAAGCAGGTGCTCAATATGCTGTGCAGCAGGTGGTTTGACACAATGAGAGCACATATTGCAAGTGTACTAACTATAATCTTCCTAATCTAACTGAAATTCAATTCCATTTAAACTGTTTTTCTTTTGAAAATTAATGAGGTGATACATCCTGTGGAGACAAAGAAAGTGTCTCAGACAGACCCCAATGTTTTTACCCTTAATACACAGTAATACTTACCAACTTTGTGTGGAGAGCATGGATATGTATGAACATTACTATTTTCAAGCTACCTTTGAAAGACACATAACTTTTGAGTAAAGGTTTGATGCCTTTCAACAACATCTTAAAGCTGAAAAGAAAAAAATATGTACACTACAGTAAAATGTAATATATTTTTCTAAATAAATTAGTGTTTTTTATGTATTTATGATTCAACTGAAATGTTCATCATGCTCTTTGACAATCGTTAAATGAGTTAAAGCTGGGGTTGGCAATCCTTGAAAAGCGAGTAAAAGCAGGCAACAGATACATCCCGCCCCCTCCCATCGGCCCTCTCGTCAAATCCACGCCCCCAAAACACATGAACACACACTGACTGACAACTGCTGGAAACCGAGTTTTCTGTGGCTCGCTCTCTTCTGGCTATCGTCATCTCTGCTTCAGTGGTGTCTCTCCGGCTTGTGAAGACTCATCCACAGTGAGAGCCCGGGCAGGCAGGCAGGTTGGTCAGGTACGCCAGCCATTCATTTCAATTAAATGATTGTTTGTTTTTATTAGTCCTGCGGGGGGGTACAGATCAATTGTTTCAGAAACAAGTAACCAACCCTAGTTCTGTTCTATGACATTATAAAAAATAAAGATGGTACTTGGAACATACAATTTTGGTTCTTTAAATTATAGTAGGTTGTTGTAAAGGACAAGTTTAATACCAGTGAATCTACGTGAATCGTTAATAGCACACAGGATAGTTGTGTGGAAAAAACTATATGCCACTGGTCCCCACCAAAACATTTAGAAATTCTAGCAAGACCACTCTGCTGAAATCTTTGCCTTTGTGAAATCCCAGTTTATCACACTATCATATTGGATTTGTATTGGATGATATGACAGCCATGCTCAAACTGCTAGCCTGAGCTAAATATTTCCAGATCTTTTGACAGGGCAAACAACACAAACAATCCAGTTGGGTCACACAAACTAGTTTTACTTCAAACGGGGCCGGCAGCACTTCCACACTTCTCCATTTTAAGTGTTTGAAAAGTCCAGAGTAGTGTGGATGGCAGGTGTGAACATAACAGCACTGATGCTTTTTAAAACTCAAACGCAGTAGAGTGGATTTAGCCTACATCAGATAGCATTCACTTCTAACATTTCCACCCCTGCTGTGGCCCCACTCCCACCTCCTCTCCTTCCCTCTGTTGCAGTTGGCTGCCAACTCCAAGACCTCCAGGGCCTGGCTCCGGCTCTCAGACCCAGACTCCTGAGACAGCAGGGCCAGAGCGGCCACCAGACCCAAGTGCGAGGATAAGATGTCGTGCTCTTGCTGCCTGGCATCGGACAAGGAAGTGGTCCTGGTGTCCGGCTGGGTTTAGGGCTGATATGGGGAGCCACTGCTTGACCTGTCGTTACTCTCTCAGAAGGCTATAGGATACATACACTCACAGCTCGGCCTGATTAAGAGATGCCGCCGAATTCCAGCTTTGGGGAAGTTGTGTTCTCATGACTCCGTGTGGGGGCAGTGGTAGTGTTGAAAGTACATCGATCTATGGGACAGAGCTTTTGACCTATGAGTTGAGCTCCGAGCAAACAATGGCAGCATGTTTTTTAAATTCTTAGAATTTCACCGACAACTAATGTGAATGTGTGTGTGTCTGGTGGACAGTTTAGGACAGCGCATACTCACCCCCACCCTTTATTAAACTCTCTGGTCAACATGGATTTTGAACACTTGTGCAACTGATGTATACTTACATCTTGCTCTAGTTTTAAGGTGTACACTGACAAAGACACTATACATGCTGCTGCTGCTGCTGCTGTATTTTCAGGCCTGATTCTTTCTGGTGGAAATGACCAGAAGATATATATTACACATCTGCTTTACTATTCTTACAGTCATTAAAATGTCATGAGACTCATCTAAAATGTGGATAAACTTTTGCTTTAACACAACGAGTGAGTCTAGGAAATGTCAAAGTGCTCATTAAATGTTATGAGCTTAATCTCACCATGTCGATACAGCTTCTAATTAAACAGCAGGCCCTATGGACCCCTCAGCGGGTGGCAAAATGCTGTATAGACAGTCTGTCATAGCAGACAGTTGCCGCTGTGATGCTGCAATGCCACCATGTGGACTATTTCTGCAACAGAAATAAATCAAATAAACAAAGCATTTCTAAAACGCATTCAGCAAAAAACACCTTCGCAAAACTTGTATGATAATGTGTGCAGTGTAAGAGCTGGCAGCTGAAAATCTGTTTAACAATAGAAAACAGTGTTATGTGTTTATCTGAAACTATAGCCCCAATGACAAATTATATCTGCTGGCAGGGAGAGGCAAACATAATCATTAAATGTTGCCTGGAGGGAAATTTAGCGACACAGATAAAGAGTCAACACAGCCTTAAGTGTCCCTGTTTGGCTCATTAGTGGAAACTGGGCTAATAAGCATATCTGAATAAGGAGGGTTTACAGCAGGGGGGCTCCGAGGTTCATTTGAGGTAGGATGAAGCAGCAGTAGAGCAGGATCCAAAAGACCAAGAGCATTTCAAGCTCTAATGGGGTTATGTCACAAGAGGCGGCTAAAGACTGAAGAATGAATCCTCCCTCACTGCTGGAAAGTAGATAAAACACACCAGTGTTAGATTCAAGCTAAAACAAGACACTTCGCATTTATAGTTATTAAGAAGAAACACTAGCCACACCAAAGCAATAACAACAAAACACAGACACAAATGCTATTATCTGTAGAATGGACTGACCAAACAACCAAACAGCAGCTGTCTCATTATAGTAGAAGTTAAAGTGGTTTTTAGCTTCCAAATAATCACAGAATATTCACTTTGTGTTTTTTGTGCTGCACATGTTCACATGCCTATAGTTCACAAGCTCCTGAAGTAACTTCAGCTGCTTTCAGACATGCAATGGAGGTAGAGACTGTATATGGGAATGCAAATGTGCATGTTAGTTGCTGCAGGGTTTGTCCTGCCAGCCCCGTAAATAGCCTTGTAAAAACCTCCTGACAATATCCAGAAGAGCCCACGTGAAAACACAACAGGAGATTATCTGGACCATTTACTGCAAATGAGTGGGCAGGTTGATGACATTTCTAACACTCGACAGACGCCAAACTGGAAAAAACTCACTAAAAAAGAGGTGTGAAACATAGAAGAGACAGACGAGGACGTCAACTTGAAAAGAGATTCAAGAGTTTTGGGTGATAAGGGCCGAAGAAGTGTAAAAGAGACGTCCTGCGTGCTGCACCACCCCTCACTTGAACGCTCCGGAGATATCTGTGTTGTTCTTAACGCGTCCGACCGGAGAATCTCCTGCTGTGTTCTACATTATGAGCGATTCACACCAAACTGTGCAAACACTCTCCTCAGTTCATGTCTGAAAACTGCTCAAGCCTCGTGGGCCACTTGTGTTGTACGAATAAGTCACAAACACCACACCTACCTGAATGATGGGATCCAACTGCTATCACCAGCATGAATGTTAACTCTTCCATCAGGGTCATCTTTTGGGGGAGTTTCCCCCAGATGTTCTATCCTTGTCGTCTTCTTATCAGTGAGTTTGTATTTCTTCAGTCCCCTGTCTTTTTCCTCTTCTTTTGTAACTGCCTCAGAATCCATTGAATGTGTGTCTTTGTCAGTGGATGCCTCTGTTTTCTCTACTATGCAGTTCTTGATTAGATCTTCCATTTTGGGGCCAGAGTCTTTCCTTTCATTTTCTTCTTGTTTGTGAATTCTAGCACTCGCAGCTCGGACTTCATTCACAGCCTCATTATTCAGTATCTTTTGATTTACTCTTACCCTGAAACCCTCTGAAGTCTCTTCCTTTAGAATATTACCCTCTTCCCCTTTGTCTTTCCCTAACCTTCCGTCATGTCCTTTCTCAACCAATGCCAAACTGTCTTTTTCCTCCTCGTCGACTTCTCTCTTCTCACTCACTTCTACACATTTTACAGAGAGCCCTCTGTCAGTGTCTTCCTCAGGCCCTTTCTGCCAATCAGCCATTTTAAAAATCTCTGCCTCATCTATCAGAGCCCCTGTTTTATCATATCCATGTGCCACTAATCTAACACCCTCCGTCTCCTTCGCCCTCTCTTCCTCACTATAATCATTAACCTGTCCTCCAACAAATCCTTCCTCAGGTTCCTCTTTTCTACAGCTCCCATCCTCTGGCTCCATGTCAAACACGGGTCGATTGTATCTCATCTCTCTTCCATTTTTGTCCAAATCCAACTTCCTGTGAACCGACTGAGCCCTGTCTTCAGATTCTTGATCAAAATCAGCATTTTGTACAAGACAACCCCCCTGAAGTTTAGATCCATGACCATTGAGCATGTCACATACTTCCAGATGCTTTGACTCTTCGTACACTTCTTCCACTGTCTCCTCTTCCACCCTTTGTACTTGTCTTTTCAGCTGATTATACGGCTGAAAAACTTCTTTGTTCAGATCCAGGATGTAGCTGTAGGCATCCTCCTCATCTGAGTCCAGCACTGACAAATTATAGATTCCCTCCTCTGAGCTCAAAGAAAAGTGACTCTCATCCGCTCTGGACGTGCTGTAGACCTGATCCGAGCTTTTCTCCATCCAGGATCGGATGTCTGGGTTAACTACCCCTGCGTCTAGAGGACTAGGGGGCTTTAAAATACTTCTATGCCTCCCTCTCTTTTTGTTGAATGGCGAGGTGGCAGCACTGCCTGCAGATTGCTCAGTGATGCTCTGGCAACAACAGGATGACATGATGTCTCCATCGCTGGAGGAGAGGTGGGATGTAACTGCTTCATTCAAGTGGAGCGAGGTGGCACGGGGGCCACCCGGGGATCTTCTGGACCACCGCTTCCACAGAAGCTGCTCGCTGCTCTTCTCCGAAACTCTGAAAAAAGCTTGAGCTTCTGTGTTGTTAGCGAAGGTTTCTCCGAAGCTCACTGACTCAAGGGAACCAAAATTTGGGATATCAGGAACTCCAATGTCCGTTGCTTGAGCCTGTGTTAAAAGGTAGTTACATTATACCACTGAATAATGAAAATAAATATTTGTTTCATTGTGTTTGGTGGAAAACCAGAGGAAAACACAAAGTTGGAATCTGCCCGTGAGTTTTTTTACCATTGTATTTATTGTGGTTTGTAACTGGCTTGGATATTGTTCACTTTAACCCAGTTTTTAATAAAAATTCAATGTCACCTTCATATACTGGATTTGCACCTGAGCATAAGATGTCTCCTTTAAAGGATACTGACGTGAGAGTGGTATCAATCTTTTCATCAAACTCTGCCAGGAAGCAAATAAGTGTATTCCCTAAACCAATTCAATGACAAACATTTGACAAAAATATCTGAAAGAAGTCACACTCACCTCATCTTTGCCTGCACAATGCCACAGGAACATAGACACATAGGTAATGATGGACTGCTCATCTGGTGAGGTGCACATTACACCTGTGGGAAGAAGGATAAACTGTTAATGGAGGCCTTTAACGAGTGAGCTTTCCCTGTGGTTGGATGATCAGTCGATCGGAGTGACTTCTGCACATCAAACAGACATTACCTTTACTACACAGTTAAAGTGGGGTCAATGGGACTGCTGTCTTTTTTCAACAGGGCTCTACAGCACCTATAGTTTATCTAGGTGCTACAGTGTCTGGGTGCAATGACAGATATTTGTTTTTGTGGATAAAAACAGATCGTTGTGGTGCACTCATTCCTTTCGATAAGCTTTTACCTTCAGGCTCCAGTAGAGGTGTTATATCAAAACTGCGATGGGCTACCATGAAGGCCTGCTGAACGTTTTCCCTCGGCTCTCTGGACAGACTCTCCCGCAGGTCGACCAAGTCCGGCTCTATGGACTTAATCAAAGCGAGGAATGCGAGACCACTTCTCCAGCTCTTCCCGAAGTCATGCACCTCCACGCCAAACCTGCACATTTAAAATGACATCATAGAAAAATCATTCTCATCCCAACACAGCCAGCTCAGGTTTTTTTCTTCCCACATAGAGGTTATAAACTAATTGCATTTTGGATGTTTCCGTGACCAAAATTACTTTGTAAGTGATTTGATCTTTTTCAGACTCACTTTGATGTGCATCTTTGGACCCACTGCAGGAGAGTCTTGATTGCTTTCCCATGGTACTTTGGCACCCTGGCAGCATTTCTGCCTTTGCTTGGCAGGGTGTTGCACGAGTAGCTGCCAATGTCATTTGGCTGGAGAGAGAGGTCACTGGAAGAGGGGTAACTGCTCACTGATAAGGAAGAGAGGCTAGAAGATAAATGCCTGTGGAGGCCTCTCGTCACCTCCTTTACCTGTGTAAGAGAAAGAGTGAAGAGTGTTGGCACGGGATGAAACATCAGGAATAACAGCTAAACCTGAGTTGCTAGTGGTTGAGCACACGTATCGGTGGAACTGAATAAAGTTTATCATAAATTTTGCCCACACTCCTGCGCTCTATTTCTTTAATATGATTATATTTCTTTTCCTTTTTATGCATAAAAAAGGATTTTATTTTATTTATAATGTGCTTTTAACATTCTCTTTTGATTTTGAATTACATTTTTATTTTCATCTATATTGTAGTGTAACACTTTGAGCTGCATCTCTTGTATGAAAGGTGCTATACAAATAAAGTGTATTATTATTATTCCATTAATATTATTAGTATTAACTTTAATAGCACAGACTCTGGCTCCCAATTCACAAGTTGGCAGCTTTCGTATCCCAGATGTTTTGGCTCCATATCTGGATAGTGGGAGGAAGCGGAGGCGCACTGTCCATGTTCATATCCAGTCTATGCATTAGAGTGATGATATGTTGGGATTAAAAACTACCTGGAAGTGCAGGATGATGATCCAGACAAGTTTAAGAACAACAGAGGGGATGCCATCAGCAACACCAGAGGCATCAATACCAAGCAGCTTCACCTGAGGGACAACATTGGAGGAGACGTCATTTGAAATGTAGTTTAACCAGAGTTGAAAGTTAACACAGTGCACGTCAAAACAATATCACTGTTTAGACTTTGAAGCACACACACTCACATGTCTATCATCTAGGAACTCCAGGGCCTTGGAAATGTTGTTCAGTCGGAAAATGCGGTGAGAAGACGACCTGAACCTGTAAAGCTAATGTAGAAGAACAGCAGTAATATTAGCTAAGCAGAAAGGCAGTGTGCATGGGGGAACAGTTAGCTGGGCATGGCCCAAAATGAAAACTCACTAATTTTGTGTTAGTTAGTTAGTTAGTGAGTGAGTCTCAGAAGGAGAACAGTTACAACAGGACTCCAGGAAGTCACAAGGTTAAAGATATAGTTCACCCAAAAATGAAAATTCACTCATTATCTTCTCACTACTATGCCGATCGAGCGGTGGGTGTAGTGTTTGAGTCCACAAAACACTTTTGTAGTTTCAGGGGTAAACAGCGCTGCAGCCAAATCCAATTCAATTGAAGTAACTGGGGAAAAATTCTTCAAAATTAAACAACAACAGAAAATGCCTCCACACTGCTCCTGTGGTGTCTGTAAGTGTCTGTAAGCCCCGACATCGATCCCCAGTTACTTCAATTGTATTGGATTTGGCTGCAACGCTGTTTACCCCTGAAACTACAAAAGTGTTTTAGGGACCCAAACACTTCACCCACCTCCCCATCGGCATAGTAGTGAGTAGAACATTTGTAAAGGTTCATTTTTGGGTGAACTATCCCTTTATATCCTTTTTTTTAAGTGGCAGGATATTTTGAATTACTTGTATGACTGTTATAGGCTGGAAAATATAGCAACAAGCTAATGAACAGGGCTGAAAGGGGAGAGGACATTACATAAAATATGAGGTAATATGAATATTTTTGCACTGTTAAATTTGATTCTCACAAGTTTGCACCCAGTCAGCTCCTCCAGCAGGGCCATGAGTATCCTGCCATCCTGAATGTCTGCGAACAGGTCCTGCACCTCAAGTGGAGGATCACACTGTGAAATAACAAAACATAGTCTATATTGGGGATTGCATGAAAGAAGTATAATGTCGTGGTAAAACTGTATTGATTTGTGTCTTACTCTCTGCAGAAACACATTCATCCACCTGGTGAAGGTTCTCTTCTGCACTGCTTTCCTCTCTTCTGGGGAAAAGAAAACAGGGACTTGGCACAACATGCTGCAGTTTCACAAGTTCACACTGTTGCACCAGTGCTTTCACTATCCCGATGAGATGTAGCACACAGGAGAGTAAGGGTTTAATTTAATAAGCACAAACAGCCTGACAGATCATTAGAAATTGCCACATATATGTGTATCTCCCAAAGGACTGTAGAAATGGAGCAAACTTGTCTTTTAACTCCCCTTTAATTATGTATTTTACTCATCAACAAGTATAGAGGAACTGTGCATGATTAGCTACTGCCATAATGCCAAATCCAAACATATGTGGAAAACCACTATAAGGAAGCCAAGTGTTCTCTTTTCAAAAGTACAATAAAGTGTAGAAACGGTGATTTCACTATTACTATCATCACACAGTGGGTCAAGTTTAAGCACCAGCTTAATCCAGTATTTCTTGTCACTGTACCTTGAGGCTGATGCGCATGTTGATCGTTGATCTCTCCGTATGATTTCTTCTCCGAGCCCCACTTGGCCTCGTCCTGCATTCTCATATTTTCAAAAAAATGTCAAGCACTTGTAGTAATTGCAGCTGCTCTGAGGTTTCTGTACGGAATAAGAAGGAAGAAAAGGCAGAGTGAGGCAGTGCGTCTTGCCCAAACACGCTGGAACCTATCTCTGAGGTGTGGATCAACTCTGGCTACACTCCCCCCCCGAAACAACTCAGCTCCAATCCTGTCGGCAGGCTGCAGCTCAAAACTTCTGTCCATGGACGCAGCTGCACAGTGTGTTGGGATCTTTGAACATGAGCATGAAGGAATCAGCTGGGATCTCTGTGTTCTTTTGCAGGTTGAATGGTTTTCTTGCAGAGGTCTGTAATAAATGTTTCAGCTCACTGCGATTACCTCATAAATACCTGGATTCTTCAGAGCATGCTCAGCACAGATGAAAGGAATGAGAGTAGGAAGTAAAGGGTTCAACTGAAGTGAATCTACAAGAGGTGTGTTTGCAAATTTTTTTTTTTTTTAAAGAATCCCAACAGATGGTAATTAAATTAGATGCTAATCTTAAACTTACTGCCCTTCAAGGCCTTGACAGCTCATATCAGCATCTAATATAGAACAGGGAAAAGTTGGCCTTTGATTGGGCCCCACCAGGTAATATTATAAACAAATATATGACACAATATATATCAAGAATATATTTTCCTAATCTAAAAATCTTAATTGAGTTTTAAATTGTTTATTGAGTTAAAGGTATTTCTTTAAAGTTTATCATTCCACTTTTTGTCAAGTGATAAATTGTACCTTGGCAAACCTAATCTAGTTCTTTGAGTAAAATTTGGAGGTAATTGTACTTTCATTTTTTTATTTTGCATTACTTTATAATTTTAATCCATTGCATTTATTTTATGTATATTTTATTGTTATACTTTAGTTTATTTTTTTTATATATTCTATTTTCTGCTTGTATAATATGTTTGAGGATGGCTACAAGGGAGCCTGGGACCCAAGCATTTCATTGCCAGCGACTGCTGAATATAATTGTTGTGCACATGACAAATAAAGTCTTATATCTAAATTAGTTCAACTCTCTGGAGTTACATCAATGCTGTTTGTTCATTTATTAATAAATGATAAGGTCCAATAGAATATGACTTTTACAGGGATGAATACTGTTGTTTTCACATGTCTGTTTTGTCACTGAGCATTTAAACTTCATGGTTTTTCTACTTATATTGATATTTACAGAAAACTTCTACCACCCATTTCTTCTTAAATACCTACTCAATCCATACTTATAAGTATACCTAGATGTATTTTCTCTTTCTCTCCTGGGCATATATTTTATTAAATTACACATTACAATCACCCTACGATTTACACGGTATATATGACATTTGCTTTAAAGAAGAGCAGTTATATTTTTTGTCAAACTGGATAAAAACATGCATTTCCAGTTATTTCTTTGATTTTTCATCTTCCATCATCTCTGACCATCATAATTCATTTTTCATTTATGTCAGTTAATGGACTGACTTAAAACAAAATTAAACACAGACTAAAAGCTAAACTTTGAATCTTAATCTGATTCACTGAAATACAATGAGGCAGTTTTTCACACTGACCCCCGTTTGATTCGAATATTGTGTTCTGTTCCTGACTCGCTCTCATGGGGGAACTCACATGCATCTAAGATGGGAGAAATCCTCCAACAGTGAGCAGGATCCAATTTAAGAAATCTGCAGTTTGTAATACACACACCATTCATAAATCACAGCAGCACAATGCACTTATTGAAGAGATCAGGAGGGTGAAAATGCACATTCAAGAGTGGTATCATCAAATTGAGTCCACAGCCAGTGATTAAGAAACAGTAACTGTAGAAGTTTTAATATCAGGATATTTCAGAAGACCTTTTGACCTACGCCTAAAAATGATAATGAATTACATTGAATTCCTACGTCAAGTACAAGAGAATATCAGAATCCCAGAATTACTTACACTTCCCTATCGTTAAAGATAAGGTGAAGAGGCCAAGTAGAGTATAACCTTCAAAACACTACATTTTCAAAAAAAACTGCATTCTGGGACAGTAGGAATCCAGTCTTTCACAGACAAGCTGAGTAGAGTGAGATAACAGATTGGTGCACGAATATCTGTATCACTGAGAAATCACTAAAACACACAGAGACATTACATACGCAAGACAGAAAAATGTACGTTAACAAAGGATTTTAAATCACTACGGTAGTAGCATTAAATGGAAATTAACATTGGACCTACATAAACATATTTAAGAGCTAGTATGTCATATTTCTATATATTTCAGTCTTTGTAAGGCTTTAAACTCAGATTACTGAATTTTAGACCTGCAGAAGCCCCATGAGGAGGACAGGGGAGGAATTTTTGAACAAAGGTGTAAAATGTAATGCAATAATTTGACAGCTGGAAACCTGTTGGACTGATGTCTGTAGGCCTTCACAGAAATTTCTAACACTTACATCAGCAGTATGAAGAGAATAATTACAGAGATGAAAAAATTGTCTTCTGGGTGTGTTTTAATTTCTTACATCAAAGGAGTACTGAGTGTGTCTTGGGAGGGGGGGTGTCAAGATATGAGTGTGGCAGGTGAAAGTGTCTGACAGGAAGAGCTTCCACTGCTTCCAACAATAACTAGCTGCCAGTTTATTTTCTATACTCTTCCTGCCTCAAGAAAGGTGGCGGCCACGGAGCGAGGCCACCACCTCCGTGGGAAGCAGGAGTCTGTCCAAGGAACATCGCACGTGAAGCTCCCGTGCCTCGAGAAGTCACGCCTTTTCATTCTTTGGGTTGCTTTCTGCAGCCTTGTTGTGGCCCACAAGCAACAGTGTTTGCGAGGGGCAGACTCACAAGGCTGCAAAGATCACAAGGCTGCTTCCATCAAAATCCAGATAGACCATGCACACGGTTCGATTTTCTAATATCATCGTATTTAACAGCCATTTAATACCAACCTTCATTGTAAACAAATACAATAACACTGTGATATTGTATACATGGTGATTTTTTTATTAAAAACATTGACATTGCTGAAAACAATATTGAAAATTACAAAATCCCAACAATCGTACTTCAGCAAATTATTGAGACGCCTAAATATCTTTCGGCAGACATGTGATGTAAGACAGATGAAAAGAATCAGAAGAGTCTCAACTTCTTTTCTAAAAAACTGGGACATTGACTACCATAGTGGGGTCTTGCCTATTAAACTAGACAGTCCAAACAGTCCCATGACAACACAGGGTCCACGTGTGTTTGTCTTTTCACTGGGTCTCTTTGCCTCCTTGTTCTTCAGATCTCCTCAGCAGCAGGACACACTTATTTCTTCCCCATGATGAAGCTTGGAGCCTCAGCATCATCTTCAGCCTCTCTCTCCTCCTCCTCCTTTTCCTCTTCACTTCCGTCGGAGCTCTTATCGGTGTCGTCTTCCGTCTTGTTGTTACTTTCTTGTTTCGCCTTCTTCGCCATCAGCTTCTTCTGCTTCATCTTATCTCGCTTCTTCCTGCGCTTGGCCGTCCTCTCCTCGGCCGCCTGCTTGTTCTGCTCCACCTTGTCCAGATACTCCACGTCCTTGTTCTGCTTCTCTGACACCTTGTCCAGGAAGTCCTGTCTCTGGTACTCTCTGCGGCGGAGGTGCCGGTAAACGTGGAACTCGCCGCTGCCTGCGCCGGCGCTGGAGCCCATCACGTCCCGGACGAACTCCGGCGGAGCCCGCGGGTTCCATTCTTTGAGTCGGTCGGGGATTGGAGCGAGCTTGTCCGGGTTCCGCATCAACCTCTCCAGCTTCAGACGCTGTTCCTCCGCCGGGGTTTTGGCGATGATCAGAGGCTGGGCCTCTTTCCCCGCAGCTTTCCCCGCAGCTTTCCCCGGCTTGTTATTCTTTTGCGTGTGCGCCGCCATCTTTCAAACTGTTACACTTGACTTCCTGCTAGCCGAAGTCAACCCGGAAGCTCTTGAGGGCTTCCGTAACCCGGAAATATTTGTTTTACTTTTTTAATATTAGCTTCATTTATCAAGAAAACGCTCTTTATCGTTCTATATACGCGGATACAGTAATTATTTGTTATTTATTTGTCCGTCTGAGTCGTATTCTATCGGTAACTAAAGTAATTGACGTCTGGCTCTGCCAACCGCAAATCAGATTAGACTTTGTTTGGGCGTAGCTATCCAATCAGCGGCCAGGTCCCGCCCTCTCCTCCAGTGTTACGTGTGTTGAGTAACTGACTTTAAGTTTCTCCGCTTTGTGCCGACATCTCTCCCGCTCTCGTAAACACACAACTAACCAGGGGCCATGAACAGCTTCATCACAGCCGCTGCTCGGTGTCTCCGGTCGGGGGCCGCGGTCTACGTGCCCAGGCGAGCCGACGTGTGGTCGGCCTCGGGCCGGCGGCTCCTGTGCGCGGCGGCGGGCGTCCAGAAGGACCTTGGGGAGATGGTGAAGAAGGACAAGGTGGTGGTGTTCATCAAGGGGACACCGGCTCAGCCCATGTGCGGCTTCAGTAACGCCGTGGTGCAGATCCTCCGGATGCACGGAGTGGACGACTACGCCGCCTACAACGTGTTGGACGATCAGGACCTGAGACAAGGTCGGTGAGCTGGAGAGAAGCGATCAACACATGGCGGCGGCGGAAAGTTGTCACCGGTCACTTTGACTTAAGACTTGTAACTGGACGTGTTGACAGTGGAGCTGGAGATAGATTGTGTTTACATAGTCTAGCTAGTGTCAATGACAGCACCTGTCAGCCATGATGGCTGCTCCAACCCTTCAGTAGTAGTAGTGTGGTTCAGTCATATCTGCTGCAGTCAGTGGATCTGTGGTTTATTAGAGGTGTCTGGTTTTATCAGTGTTCTGCAGCAGGACCCCTGGGTGTGGCTGATCCACACACGTGACATCTGTAACATACGAGGCTTTCAGCAAAACACGTCATACTTTACCTCCTTCCAATGGTTGGCAGCAGACATGTGTATTATTTGACTAGGCTCTTGTCAGTTCAGGCTGGTGGTTAAACTGAGACTCATGATACTCCATACAAGGTGTAGTGGGCGGAGGGGTTACATTGGGACACGTGGTGCTGTGTCATATCTTGAGAAACAGCAGAAGAACACAAGCTATTTACTTTCAGGCTGAAAAGTTGAACCTGAGAATGATGCAAGTCTGTCACTTCCTGTAAAGCCAAACAACTTTGTGTCTATTAATAGCTGATTGTTGGACGGTGTTGCACAGACAGGGCTGAAAAGCAATCTTGTCTGATATCCCAGAGTAAAACCAAAGCAGGTCAGGGTGTACCGGGTCAGATATACAGGATGGAAGAGAGCCAGAAACTCAGCATTTACTGAACGTGAATGTAAAATGCCTTGTTTAAGTCTGGTATTGTCGCTGCAGTCGATGCAATAGAACAAAACATTAACAACCGTTTCACAAGTGTATGACTGAACGGGGAAATCCACAGATTCCACAGAGTTCCCCAAGACTCAACACTGGACAACAACAAAGAAAACACGTACTTGTGACATGTAAACTGATCTTCGTGTGTGAGACATTGTATGATTAACATTGTATGATTAACATTTGGTCTTAAGAGTTGTATTTTTAAACTTGCAAGTTCTTACCTAAAAGGCAGCCCAGTCTGCACCATCCATCACACACAATCCTCTAAATTTGGAATCATTTGTGTATCGCTAATATTCAAAAGAGCGTAAACTATAGATAGACTGTAAATACAGATGGATGAAACGTCTCGGAATCTCTCACTATCCATAAAATAAGCAAAATATGGAGCAAGGTCCTGTCGATATATGCTCTCAGTCAATCACAAGTCAGTCTCAGCTGTCAATCATAATGTTTCACCTTCTATCTTACATGCAGTCGATGTAAACACATTTAATATCCTTGTCATCTCAGTTTCTTTGTATTTGCCTTTGCTGTAGCCATTTGTTTCTGTTATTGTGGCTATGACTGTCCATGTCAACCACTCTTCTCGTGTTTAGATCATACAAACTACTCTTTTTGAAGGGGGGAACCCATAATCTGACACTGATCTGTTTGACCTTATATCTGATATCCATTGTTGTGCATGTCACACTCACAGTAATGCCGTCTGCCTTCCGCAGGAGTCAAGGACTTCTCCAACTGGCCCACGATCCCTCAGGTGTACTTCAACGGCGAGTTTGTTGGAGGCTGCGACATCCTGCTCCAGATGCACCAGAACGGAGATCTGGTGGAGGAGTTCAAGAAGCTGGGAATCCACTCTGCACTGCTGGAAACTGAGAAAGAATCCAAGTAGAGCATGAGTATAAGCTTCAAAGAGCTGACAACACAGAGGACGCGTTTATCAAGTTGAATCCCCCCCACTCATGTGGTCACATATGAATCAAGTCTGTAGGCAGCCATGGGAGAGGCAAAGTGTAAACAATTCTGGTGGTGGCACTTTGTCTTGAGTCAGGAATATTTAGGCTTCACAGTGCTCCATACCCATAAATAGTTAAGTGTGATACAGAGCTCCTTACGCACTGTTTATACTTTATACTCCTCTTAATGTGCACAGATCACGTACCCGACAGGTGGGGACTTAAATATTGGAAGAAAAGTGTTGACAGTGTCTTCACAGGGATTCAAAAGCATTTTTACTACAATTCTCACCTTGTCTGTAAAGCTGCAGTCACATTTTCCGGTGTATTATTACATATTATCACATTTTATGATTATATGGGAAACTCATTCGCAACATTAGCATTCACTTTGACTTCCAGTTCTGGTCACTCAGACTAATGTCAGCCCAATGTTCACTCTATCTCTGCTGTGGTCTCCACGCACTCCTGAAAAAAACCTCAGACCCTGTAGCTGCTACATGCACCACTCTGCTCAACAGCTAGTTAACTTTAGTAAGTCTGGTGCTGGGCAAGTAGTTTTCCACTGAGAACCGCTGGCTGCTGGTCAGAATGTTGCTGTGAGAGGGAACCAAGAGTTGTGGGCCAGAGTTAAGACAGAGTTGAGACAAAGAGATCATTCTCTGTGGCTTTGTCATTAATGAGCTACTCCTTTCATATTACACAAAATCTTCTGATCCATTGAAAATTGTGATCATAGCAGCTTTAATATTTTCTCATCACACAGGGAGGGAAAGCTTAGATTCCAAATTTTATCCTAAAAGCTGTTATAAAACAAAATGTTAAGTCATCATCGTTGCTCCAGTCACAGCAAATACTAACAACGAATCCTGTCGGAGAATCATTAAGGTTGGACTTCCACTGTTTGGTTAACTACCGGTGCTTTAACTGGTTTTACACAAAAATGCAGGTAACCTTTCTTATCCTGCCCTTTACAATCCCTGCTACCTCTACTGTCCATCTCTTTTCTCAAGCCACAGTCACTTCAAGACCAAATGACTCTCAGGGTGCAACTAGATATAAGTGAAGGTGATTATGAAGCTTTTTCTTGGGTCACACCACAAACCTTCTGAATGCACTGCCTGCAAGTACAGTTTACCTGGAGGAGGAACAGTGGACAGTAAAGCTGATGTGGGTTCATAACCATATAAAGGGGTTTTAAGGTAAATGCTGTCCAATGACATAACATGTGAATTGGGTTTAGTAGAGAAGGTAAACCAGACATGGGCCACACTGTCAGTAGCTTCTAACATTACCCTCTATCTGTTCTTCCTGCCAGGATCCACATCCTAAATGTGCCCCTCTGTTTTAATGTCAACTCCCGCTGAAACGCAACAAACTAGAATATGCCTGATACGTTGAAAATGTTGGAGTCTGCTATCTGTTTTTTTTTTTTTCTTGTGTTAGGGGCGGGGGGGTGTTTTTTTTCTTTTAAATTATCTCTCCTTCAGCCTAAGAACGTTGCGATCTTTATCAATCCTCCTGTAGATGTTCCTCCTGCTGCACACAGTTGTATTATCAAAGCAAAGGTCATGTAGTACACTGTAAGATATTGTACATTGAAAGCATATTATTAAATGTATTTTAGCTGCATGTAAACCCTACGCCAATTAAATATTTTGTGACAAATAACATGCAGTCTGTTTTTATTTGAAAAACCTCACACTTTTTAATTCTGAGTAGTAAATCTGATCTTTTGGCACATTTGACTGTTTAAACCATCAGCTGTTAAATCTCCATCTGCTCTCAGTGAACAGAGGCCAAACACCTCAAGCAAAAAAAATTCTACCATGTGTGTGATCCAGATAAAGGTGCTACCTGCTAAGCTCAGTTTATCTTCATGTTTTGGATCATTTCGAATCTCCAACAGCCTGGACGGGGATCATTGCTTATCACAGGATACAGAAAACTGCCACTTCAAGCAGTTTGAGAGCCTCCTTCACAGCAGACATGTTGACCTGCTGAAGAGGGAAAAGCACACATATTACTAATAAACACTGAATCAAAACTTGGACCATAAAACTGAAAAATCTTCACCGAATTCTGTCATGTTTCATTTTAGTAGAGTGAGACCAGTGCCTACCTGCCATGACGATAAAATGTCTCCTGTGAAAAAGATGGATATGCACATGATTAAGCTGTTATCTTCTGAAAAGTAAAAAACTGAGAACTTTATTTATTCAGACACAATTAAGAACATTTTGTAGACAGATGCTAACACATCTGGGAATATTTAGGATCTCCCACTAATGAGTTGCTCATAAACTGACAACATGACATCTGGATTTTAATTGTAATAGAGCCAATGCAAATTATAAAGTTGTATTAGGGAATTAGAAGTGATATTAAGTTGAGTAAACCCAGAGTACTTACTGTATGTGGTTCTGCTTTTCCTTTCAGTTCCTCCTTTGGAAAACCTCCGCTCATGACTGATGGTCTCTTCATTTTCATTTAGACGTTCTACACTTTCTTTAGTGATGAAAGACTCACTCAGATGATGTTGAGCATTCTTTGAAAAATCTTTTAATACAAAATACTATTTTACAATATTTAACTTGACTTTACAATGAAACCAATGTAAATGTTACAGTGTTAAATATGACTGCAGTGGAGACAGACGCCTTAAGCCTCATCCTCTCTCATGACCATTCTGTTGCTGTCCACAGTCCAAACAATAACTGTTTAAAAACCAACGGAGAAGCTGTGAAGAGGATTTAGGTCAGAGTTTCTGCAGGAAGCGGAGAACCAGGTCTCTGAGCGTGGTGCGCAGCGGCTCGTTGTTGTCACAAACGATGTGCGTCCCATCCTCCTCCAGCTGGATCAGCGTGTCCTCAGCCTGCAGGTGCAAGATGTGTCCGTCTGTCGTCTCCTCCACTTTCACCTCTGAGATCCCGTGCTGCAAATGAGGACATGAACACAAACCTTTCATACATGACGTGTTTTGTTGTCATGGTTTAGCGAGATGGAACCCTGCAGGTGCTTGAACAAGAAATGTCCATCTAAAGTTTATGTATGTGCCAAGATCCATTAAAAAAACAGATGGTATAGACTACTCAAACTAAAAGCTAATATGGAAATGTAAAAGTAGTAAGAGGTAGTAAAATCTGTTATTGCAGGAACATGCTTCTACATTTAATGAAATAAAAAATGTCTTTGAGTTTTATTTCCTGAAATCTGCGGTGGTAAAATCCCCGCTCTCTGCTGTAAAGTACTAATCCCAGTAATGTTTGGCCATTGGGAGATTGTAATGCGAGATGGGATGAGATTCAGGACTCCAGCGGGAATACTAATGCTGCGTGAAATGTCATCCAATGACAAGAAGGCAAATAACACAATAATTGTAACTGCTGGCTGCAATAAAAACAACATTGAGACTAACGTCTGCAGGTTCCACACCTTTTGTAATGTGGCCAGGAAAGCTTCTAGAGGCACAGCTCCACTCAGCAGGGGTTTGGGGGCCTGCACCACAGGGGGCTCCTCCATCACTCGCTTTCTCTTTTTGCTGGGGGGTGCTGGAGGGGGTTTGGGCACCGACTGAGAACCCAACATGAAAGAAAACAGTGAGTTGACTGACTGAGTCTACATCAATACTACTAAGTTTTAAACAGCATTGTCAAAGAAACTATCTCCGTTCACACGAGCACTGACTCACGTACACTGGGCATGCGTACTAGTACAACGTAGTAGTATGGATGTAGCCTGACTGCCAGAGAATACACAACTTTCATCATCTAAGAAAATGTTTTATGGTACGACCTCATCAGACAAGACAGACTCACCTGCAGCGTGTGCTTGTTGTCTTTGGAGTGTAGTATAGCGGATACAGTTGCCACGGAGATGCCCGGTTTCACCTCAGAGGGCACCAGGGAGTTAGCGAGCTTGGAACAGGAGAATCAGACTTAAAGACATGAAAATTGGCCACCTGCTTTCTGACGGGAGTCTGAATATTTCCATAATGCATTTCAATCTTGAATCTGGCAGCTTTTTTATCCACCATATGTCATTGTTTCCTGAAAACACCAGAGAATTTAAATGATTCACTCACCATCTGTCTCTGAAGGTGCTGGTTTTATCTTTTATTCAACACTGTCTACTGACTTTATCAAGCCCTTTAACTAGCTAAGTTGAAGGAGAATATATTCATTGGAGGTACTGCTGCTGTGCTCTGGCTCACCTCAGGAAGGATGTAGACTCGTTCGTAGCGGCGTCTGAAGGGCAGGTTGAGCACTGAGCAGCGTCTGTAGGGCATAGGAGGGGGCTGCAGCTCCAGCATCAGATCAGACCGGTGGGACTGGGAGAGTGGAGGCTGGGTGTACTGCTCTGGACACACCACATGGAGGGGCTGCCGGAGGGAAACACAGTGGACAGGGATCAAGTCCTGTTAGCTTCACAATGCCCAGGTGATGGTCCACTGTGTACCTTTTGAGTCTTTACTTCCATACTCAAATTTGTTGTAATAGGTAGAAGGTTAAAGATAAAGCAGGGCCCTGTTCCAAAGTGGTTTAGATATTAATCCAGGCTAATAGAGATTCAATTATTTTCTTCATCTTGGTTAACTTGATTATGCAGTTGAGTTAAACACTGAAATGACAACATGGGAGATGAATTGCAATGTGATTGCAGTTTTATGAGATAGGTGTGTAGCAAGAGATCCACCTGGAATATTTTTGCATTTCTAAACTCGATGTGTGAACAATGAATCATCACAAATAGATACTCTGCATGAAGTGTACACAATAGAATGCAGCTGAAAACGAAAGAAAACGAACGACGCTCGACTCAAACCCAACAGGGACTCGACAGGTTTTCCCAGATTACAGATGTGCTGTGTAAGAAAAATGAAGCAGATAGCCCAGCCAATGTGACCGAACGTGACTTCAACCCAAATATAATTTCAAAACCTTTGTCAGAACCGACAAGCTCAGGTTGGGTTTCCACACTCTAGTACACGACACATCACTGTTATTACAGTTTTGAATATACTTTACCATGTTTATTCAATCATTTTAACTATATAAGTAAATAATCATTTGTTCCTGAAGTCATTATACTATATAGATAGATACTATAGATTTTGAAGACTGATGATTTTCTATACAGGAAATTATTTTGTTGCATGAGCCCTTGAAGTGAGAGCTAAGGATTTCTTTATTTTCATTTTTGTGTCTAAAAATTATGAGAATGAATATTTGTAAATACTGAATATAAGTACAATACAGTACAAGAAGATACTTGATTCATGATATGAAATAGCAGGTAAACAGAGGTTATTGTTCACATTCATTAAGTTTCTGTACAGAAATAGATCAGAGCATTAGTTAATGCTAATAGATGGCTGCTCTGTGTTAAGAATCGTTTCACCCACAGGAATGATTCTGACTCATTAATTGCTAGTTGCACATCCCTAGTTTTACCAGTGTTCCATGCAAAAACAACCCATGAGAGCAGTCATTTCTGAGCAACACAATCCTGATGCTTCCCACTCGTTATCATCTATTTACCAATTACAACACAAACTCATGTTTGTGAGAATCCCTCTATGAACTCAAATCATAACGTGGAGAAAGTGCTTACAGTACACTACCTTATTACTACCTCTGACACAGAATTATGTTTTGGCTTTGTCGGATTTCTATGACATTCTATAGATGGTGGATGGTGATCCAGGGTGGACGCCATAACATTTTGATGTCTTTAAAGATCAGGGGGCAGATCCAGATTTTTTTCTCTTTCCATAACATTAGGAGATAAGGTGGTTGATTTCTCATGGATTTTAGTACAGATCTAGATAAAAATCTGGATCTAGTGCATACGAATGTGGTTTCATAAAGGGACTGTTGGGCCTTGGCAGACGTATGTACACTACTGAGTGATGAGCTGTGAATGGGATTCTAACATGACACTTCAGTGTAAACAACATACCTGGACTTCCTTCAGCAGCTTTGACACTTGGTGGAAGTTGAGCCGTGTGTCAATGGGACAGTAAACACACTTCATAGCCAGCGGCTGGTAGGGAGCCAGGGCATCGAGGTAGGAGAAGTCTGGCTCTGGTGACCAGAAAGAAAAGATGCAGGCTTTTAGAAGAAACTTTTCCATTTTCAAAATCACATGATGACATCTTCTCAGTCAGTGTTTGTAAGACAGTTACCCGTAAAGATGATGGTGTTGAGGCTGGACTTGCCCCACAGCTCCATGAAGTGAACCACGTCCCCGAAGCGCAGAGAGGGATGGCCGGTGAAAACCACACACGGCTGACGGAACTCGCTGCTGAAGTCTCCATGAATGCTGGGGTAGTGTTTCAGCTTATTGGTTTGGATCAGCTGAAACATGCAACAACACAGAAAGTGTAAGATAGAAGCTGACATCAGTTTTTCTGCCATGTTCACCCACAAAGCTAAAGGCAACATCAAATACACAAATCTCATTTAGCCTTTGTTTGACAAGCCAGGAACAAAACATGCCATAAACATCTTTACCAACTGAGTGAGAGTATTCAGTCAGCACAGAAATCACTGTGTCCAACATAGGGTGACATGGGACTCACTTGTTGACTCAAATCAGCAAAGACAGAGGTTTACACACTCAACTTTTGTTGGCATCCACTAAATCACTACAGGGATCCTGTGTAGCTG